AACGAGTGATATTACCGACACAGCCACGGAACTCGCGGAAGCACTAGCGACCAATGAAAATACAGGAGGGAAGCGAATGGACAGTGTCACGGGGTTTGGTGATCGGGGGTATGTGGCAAGAGAATCGCAATTGACCGCGCCTGTGGCCGTCGTGTGCGACATCGCGCCCTCTAATGACGACGATTTTAGGTGGTATTGGCAGAGAATAGACAATGTATGACCAAAAATAGACATAAGTTTCTACCATGTCCTTGTCTACATGAAATCCGATGCTCCAATCGAAAGGGTAGTGCAAATTAAGGAAACGTCGCGCCCATTGCCGCGCGCGACGAAGCGGCAATTTACGATTCTCTTGCCCGTCTCCCGGAGATCGAACCACAAATTTCAGTCCGTCTGGTTTACTCACGTGACTTCTCCACAAAAGAAAGACAGAAACAGTGGTAGCATACTGCTTAAGGATGTACCATGAGGATGACTGGATGAGGATGTAGATGTGTAAATTCTTCGAGTGGGATACTATAATGATGGATTAATATAACTGTATCAGACTCGCTCTATATGCGTTGCAAGAGATCGGGACAAAAAAATGGGCTAAACATCTGACGTGCGCGCTTCACAGCTGGTCACCCATTCATAAAAGTACACCTTTTTGTACAGCATCGTTTTTGTATAAGAGGTACCACGGAAAACTTATAATTCAGTATGCACAAGAAAAACGGAAGGGGCATTTCGACACTCACCGTTGCGGAGTTTGGCACTGTATTCGAAGTTTGAGCAGATGAGCCCAAAACATGGCCTCTTCAGGGCCGAATGTCTCCAGCCATTGTTGACTTGATTTGTGCCCATATCCGTTGTATTGATGGAGGCGACCCGTTGCGACTGTCGGTACCAGATGAAAGTGGTGAGGAGTTATCACCGCACGTAAATCCCACGGGCGGATACCACTGTGGCTCGAGAATCTGAAAAAAAACGAGGTTAAAGATCTCGTGGAAAGATACGATCCAACTTTCTGCCACGATCCCTCCATAGGAGGCTAAACCACGGGCATAAAAAGACAGCAAGTGCGAAAACATAGGTTATAAATGAACACACGCTGGCCTCAGTAATGAGAGAGTTTCAAAGGGGTTCTACGGGATGATGAGCCACTTTTCAAACGTCAAAAGTTAGTTCGCTGAGGCAGAGCGGTCATAGTACGCTGAGTAGGCAAGAAAGCATAAAGAGAGCATAGACCTATAACAGCTCAAATCACTTAGCTCAAGTTTTCTACGGATCAGATGGGCGGGAGAGGGTGGGGTGGTGGGGCCAGTCGGCAAGGTTAAGCCACTCCCACTTCATGCTATCGCACCGAAACGCCGATGAGGCCTTTATCGGTGTAGTATGAAATGAAAAACACGAATATACAGTCTTTTTCGCTGCAGATGATGGGATTTGTCAGGCGGAATGCGTTTCGCGCAGCGTCAAACCCTTTTTCCACCATTTGTTGAAACGAGCAAAGGACAAGTCTAATTCATTGTTCTCGCTTACCCGCTTCAACAACTGGTGGAATGGGATTGGCGTCGTGCCACTGAATGCGATATCGACAATTCAATGAATGACTTAGGGAAGCATGCTGATGTACAAAACCTTGGCTTAGACCCAATCATTTGCTTTCCTTTCTAGGCGGGTTCGGATGCATAAATGCCGGCTGCGAAGGGAGGCTGTGGACGAAGGCTCAGCTGGTCCAGGCTCGATTCCTCTGACTCCCGCATCAGAATCATGGCAAGTGGGCCACTTTTCACTATACCACCTCCTCCCTAGTAGATCACGCGTTATATAAACCTTAGCACAGTTCAGCTTGGTAGAGGCATGAAATGGCACGCGATAAAGCTTACACTGCCCCTTGTGAAGCCTGTAAATTTCTGCAACAATCTGGCTCACCCGTATCACTCCGCAGGTTTACTACTGGGTATATGTGCCACCTCGCTAAGACCTTTTTTCGTGAACGAGGAAGGCTAGAGCGAAAGTGCAAAACGCCTCCCACCTCCTAAGCCCATATCATGGATAACCCTAATAATTCGAATCACATACCGTTTAACTTGACATCCAAAGCATCTTCAGCAGAATCAATCGACAACCTCTTGTGGCTGTCATTTACAGCAGATCTTGTGCGATCTGAGCTACGTTGATCATCTAGTGACTGCTGCAATGCCACCGGCGTTAACCACTCCTGTGGTAAACACTGAAAACATAAAAACGTTAATTGGGGTGCAATGAAAATGTGAATCAAGAAGTTTCAACAGGGAATGACATACCCTTTCTAAAAATGGAATAGATCCACTAAGATTAGCTAAACGATTGATCCACGTTGGAATGTCGTTTCCCGTGAGGGCCTAAATCGGTTAAATCTGGTTGAAGCAGAAGCAATCTAAACAAGGGCTTACTTTAGCAAGAACGGCACTGAAGTGATTACAGTTTCGTGATATAAGATGATAGCGATCACCACGATATTCTTGTCCGAGAGACTTTATAAGTTCCCGAACAGCTGAAGCCGAAAAAGCAGTTTCGCCAATCACAATACATTGCCTGAAATATTACATGCTGCTTAACAAACGCTATCATAGCGCACAAGAGAATACACAGATTTTCTACTTCTAGCTGACTTGAACAAGTTTATCGGTGAAAAATGTGGATCTATGACCGCGAAGGCTCCGCCGGATATGCGCCTTGAAAGCATAATTTCCGATATAAAATTGTGGGTAGGAGAAAAGAAATGTGAAATTGTAGGTGCCAGGTAACTCGATGTCAAGAAAAAGCAGAAGAAACTGACAAAAACATCTGAATAAAGTACCCCATTCTGAGGCTTGAATTTCAGATAATACGCAGGCACTGAACAAAAAAAATGTAGTCAAGGCGCACTAGGCAAAAGGGAATGACGTCTTTGAAGGTTCAGTCCACGATATGCTGAGTCTAACGGTTACGTGGCAACTAAAACTTTCAGTGAGGGTCCTGCTACGAAAGGCCAGAGTGCCATGAAACAAAGAACTGCGGTCGTCCATGCATCGAAAGCTACAAAAAGACACGTCGGAAGCCGGTGAGATGATGAACTTGAAACGTAAAAGTTCACAGTGGTAACAAAATGCCATGCAGACGTGAGAGTGACAGT